CAACTTCAAGGACCAGTTACTCTCTGGAATAGATTACAATTTGCTTTCATACTGTTTTCTATTTGTCTGTATTTACTTGGACTACATACATTGAATAGGAATCAAACCTGTCTCCAAACTAAAAATAGGTTTCCTACAACCTAACAGTAAAACTGGGTAGGCGATATTACAGCAAACAAGAACTGGAAACCTACTATCTACCACATTAGTTAACGTTCCATGTGTTAGTGGAAGTAAACGAAATATCTCAAACCAAAATTAAAGCTGACAGACCTCTTTGTAATTTCTGATCACATCAGATTTTTTTTTTTTTTTTATTTAAAATTTTACAATTTACATAATTATTTACATTAACATTAACATTAACATTAACATTAAAATTTTCCTTCCTACTTAACCACATATAGTAAATATAATCTGACATTAACATGATCATTGTATTCTTATCCTTATTATTACTACAGTTAATATTGAACATTAAGAAATGCAGAAATAATTTGCTATTAGCATTGCAGACTGTATTCAGGAATTTTTTAAACCATTTAATTATCTCTTTGTTATGGAAGCAGAAGCAAAATACTGTATATGTGTCACGGATATAATATGTCTGGATGGATATTATATTAAGTTTTGTTTCTTAATTTCTTACCGTAGAGTTCGATACCTTCACACTGGTTACTTACAGGAGATTATGGTGTATCTACGTAGAAATTCACTCCACCACTCGACATTCCATTATTTATACTTGATAAAGGATGATTTAATAAGTTCCATTAATTTCCAACATTCATCTAAGTTATTGGTTATACTTTGTCATAACCAATCAGGTCATTACCTGGGTATGACTTAACAGGGCCTTAATTCCTCAAATGATACATTCACCGCCAGCCTGGATCGGTCTTATTGCAACCAGGCTTTCACACGTGATCATCTTTCCACGGGCAATAATAACCCTGGGTTGGCACACTTAGTCTCGTGTCGCTGACAGTCCACAGGACGGGGTCGCGGTACAGAACTCTATGTAGCATCCAATTTCCTTCAGAAAGGTGAGGGTGAGGACACCTTAACTAACCCATGGTCTAGGGCATACTAACTAAAATGTGGGTTTTGGGGCGTGAGACACAATGAACAGTACACCACTGTCTCAAACACCCCCGTCCCCCCAATAGACTGGCCAACTTTTTCATTTTTATTTTCTTCACCACTGATCGGCTCGTTAGCCGCTTGGGCGATCGGTCACGTTCCTGTTACGCACTGTTGGCAAGTACTGGGCATGCACCGGCTCCTGGATGTACCTGAACCTGCTGCAGCGTTGGTCAAATCTTGTCTTGAAAGAGCTCACACTCGGTGCCGTCACAACACTTTCTGGTAGATTGTTCCAAGAGTTCACAACTCTCACTCCGAAAAAGTTTGCCCTCACAGTTTTCTGGACTTGCAGCTTCTTCAATCTTGTAGGGCAAGTTATTTAGGGAAATCAAGAACCAAGAGGACTGGGAAGAGCTGCAGAAGGACCTCTGTGGGCTCCAAGAATGGTCGAAGAAATAGCTGCTGAGATTCAATGTCACGAAGTGGAAGAGGATGCACTTGGGGCGTACCAATGGCAAGGAGGCGTATCATATGTCCCAACGGGATGAAGAAACTGCACTATTTGAGACTGAATGTGAGAAGGACCGAGGTGTGTATGTTGACAATGAGCTGAAGTTCTCGGGCCATTGCGAAAAGAAGGTAAATTAGGCAAATCAATTATTGGATCTTATAAGAAGTTCGTTTAGATATCTAGACGGTCCGTCCCTCGTAACGAGCTTCAAGAGTGAAGTGCTTCCCCATCTGGAGTACTGTCAACCCGTCTGGTCCCCGAGATATGCTAGGGACTGTCAGTTGGTTGAAAATTTTCAAAGGAGGGCCACCAGAATGGTGCCTGCCCTTCGGCACCCCAGCTACCCTGAGAGATTGGAGCGCCTGAACTTGCCTAGCTTATACTACAGCCAGACAAGGGGTGACCTAATAGAGGTGCATAAGCATCTCAAGGGGCACTACTCAGTCGAGTGTCCTTACTTGGAGCTGGCGGACACTCGCCCCACAATGGGTCACAGCTTAAGATTGAAGAAGCCACAAGTCCACAAAACTGTGAGGGCAAACTTTTTCGTAGTGAGAGTTGTGAACTCTTGGAACAATCTACCAGAAAGTGTTGTGACGGCACCGAGTGTGAGCTCTTTCAAGACAAGACTTGCCCAACACTGGAGTGGGTTCAGGTACATTCAGGAGCCGGTGCATGCCCAGTACTTGCCAACAGTGTGTAACAGAGACGTGACCGATCGGCCAAGCGGCCAAAGAGCCGATCCTTTGGTGAAGAGGATAAAAGAAAAGGAAAAGTAATCTGAGACGTGACCGATCGCCCAAGCGGCTACCGAGCCGATCAGTGGCGAAGAGGATAAAAGTAAATAATTTATACAAAGATAAATATTTTATAGTAGCGTTTGTGGTAATCGTAACATCAACGTCCAGCCGTCCACCACAAGAGTGAGCTGAGGAAACTGGTGACATTTCACGCAATTTTTTTATCAATTTTCTAGGCCATTTGGAGTATAATTGTGTGTAAGTGTTATGTGGCCTTGAAGGAGAAGGTGGGACCCCTGTGTGATAATTGGGATGCTGGTGAGAAGCAATTTCATAATTGGTGAATAATATGGCTATTATTTTGACTACCTTTTGACTTATTTATTAATCTAGAAGTCATTATTTAGGCGTGATCATCTCACTTAATCTCAAATATGATCTTTTACTGGTTAGGTAACGTTTTGCTATACAAATCGAATGTTTTTTTCTGACCTTTAGATTTCAGGATTACGCACTGGAGAGGGGGGCGGTATATATGAAGACTAATTATCTCACAGATACTCCGAGATAATGTCGAGCCACCCTGCGGCTCGACATTATGTAAATCCAGATATCAAATTTTGGTTAACAGATCCTTAAGCAGCATGTTCAGGAGTACCTATACTGAGATG